AAAATTAAACATTGCATTGTATAAAGCATTGATTGTAGTTGATTCAACTATAATTATGGACAAAGGAAGATAACTCCAATTTAAAAAATTATTTGATATTTAGAAGAAAATAAAAATTTTACAATTTTTCCATTTATAAAGGGGCATAACTCTAGAACGGTTAAAATGACGCCACCAAAATTCAAACTTGATCTGTGTTTTGTGGTAATAAGCATTGTATATAAGTTTCATAACATTTGGTTGAGGCAAACTCAAGTTAGAGAACGGAAACCAAATTTGGGATGTACGTACGTACAGACGGACAAGGGTAAAACTTAATGCCCCCACCACTACGGCGAGGGCATAACAAAATATTGTCAAAATCATGCACACGGCTGAACAGATAGTCAAACAAACAGAAAAGTGCATTAATGAGTGAGACCATTAATTGGTGAATACAAATGGTACTGTATGCATATACTCAACACCTTGACTATCCTAGCACCCTAGATAGTCAGTATAAAAATTATGCATTAATTGTACAAGTTATAAAAAAACAAATTATTGAATATAATGATTCCAGAAGTCAAAATGCACAAACAAACAAGCCTGTTTGATTCTTGTCATTAAATAAGGGATGGGGACTTCGTGGCCAAGTTGTCTAAGTAGTCTGCAGTTGTATTAGCATTGGCACATCTCAATTCCATGGACTTTGAAACTTTTAAATTGTTTACATGTTTAAAGTTTGTGTTTAGGTCAGTTTAAAGGGAACCACTTATGATAAGTCAAAATTGCATGACAGCAAGAAATATCTCTATGTCAACAGTTTTTTTATACATTCTTGGACGTTAATTTTTCGCAATTATTTTGAAATCATATAATATGGTATAAGGTTGCTAATTAAATATTGATTTGCAAATTAAGTTGCAACTATGAGAGAAGGTGTGAAGCTAGCAGGAGGTGTGTAAAACTCTGATGACAGAAACTTGTTAATTACCTAACTATACAGGTAGACAGAAAAATAGTTAACAGTTTATTGTTTAGTTATGTAATAAAAGAATAATCAGCTTAAGGCACAGCAATACAATTATCACTTTTTTCACTATTACCAAGAACCTCATTAATTTGTTTTACTTTGTCAATCAGTCCACCATTTTATATTTATTTTGGACAAGGAAAAAAAATTCTAAATTTGGAGCTAATTGTTATGAAAGTTTCTATATTGAAAGTTAAAGGAGTGTTAGTTTTTTTACTGGAAATCTCAGAAGAGTTTCTTCTTCATTTTTTGGTTTTAAAGCTGATTTTGTAGAAATTTACACTGTATTCAGTATCATTCACAATTACTCACACACATGCAACCTGTTTAAGATTTTACTTATTTTAATTTGCTTTATTTGTTGACTTAGAAAACAAATAAAAGTAAAATGTACACACTAACAACTATTTATTAAGTAATATAACTTAAAACTTTGAACGAGAGATTACAGTATATAAAGATTTGAACCACAGGCAAGTGGATTTCTATAATATGATTACATGTTTTATCTAAATAAGGTGTCCATCGTAAGGAATTTTTAAATAGGTCAAACAGCTCTTAATTATCAGTTTTATGGATCTTTAAAATTAAGGCTTGCTCAGAGCAACATTAGTGTCACAATGGACTAATCTTCTCTTATGACAAAAAGACAATGGATCTGTGTTAATATCTTAACTAGAATTATCTCCAAATTACACCTGAAGCACCTGGGGGTCCACATTCAGATGACCATATTATCTGTTTAATTGTGTGACCTTTCAGATGTCTGAATTAATTGATTAGTCTGTGGGAAAGTAAACATTTTCTACCTGTTTTATTTTGAAGCAGCATTTTCAAAGGTATTTTCAAAATATTATATTCTCTGAGATTTTTAACTGATATCTTCTCAATATGTATGTCTGACAAAGTTGAAAATGAATTTGTGAAATTTATTTGTAACTGCTAGTAGTTAATTTGTCTGTGTCCATATATTATGCAAAATTATAAGGCCTCATCAGATTTGTTTTTATATTCTGAACCTCATCTCAAGAAATATAATGGAGGGGAATAATTACATACCTGCCAGTCTTGAATGCATGATGGTGATTTAAAAAAAAAACCATCATTTTATGAAAATCTACACGAAACTGTTTATTTTGATTCTTTATTTGTTGGAAGAGCATTGAAAGGTAATTTATGTATATTTCTGTTAATTTAAATAAAATCACTATTAGAATTTTTCATATAAATATTCAAAAATGTAATATTATATATGAAAACTGGGACATAATATACTATTCCCAGATGAATTAAAGGGAGAATCAGGATGGAGAAGTGGGGAGGGTTAGGGTGAAAACATAAAAATTAATTTCATATGGTCTAAATGACACATGCATGTATCTAATATTCAGAGGCTTCATTTTCCATTAGAGACTTGCAATGCTTGTAAATTCAGGATGGGAAGTGAATGGTTATAAGGAGGCCTTAAAGAAGAGTAACTCAATTTGACCTCCAGTAATTAGAAAAGAACACTCCTTCCTGTTCAGAGAAAGTTCAAGTTTGCTGTTATGAAATTATCTCTAACCACAAATACAAACAAGTAGTGTCCGTTGGTTGCTTAATTCACTATTTAAAATCAAATATGCTGGTATTGTTTAACTAATTATGTTCAAAATGTATATTAACAAAATCATGCTTCATTGGGTTAGAACTATGAAGAGATTGATTTCAATTGAGAATTGCCTTTTTGTCTTAGTTTTTGGTCATTGACTTAAATTCCTTTGCCCAAGAACTTTAATATTATCTGGAAAAGGGGGCGGGGGTAACTTTGTGGTAGGTGTGAGTAGCTGAGACATCTAGTACTCTACCCTTCATATATTTTAGATATTAAAAATAAGGTAAGTGGACAGAAAGTCACAAATTTGATAGGACAAAGAGTCACAAATAATTTGTTTATAATTGTTTGAATATTAAGAGAAAGTTCTTGAAATAATTTCTTTTTATTAAATTTATTTCTTTTACAGTTTAAGAAATTGTTCATAAGCCTTAATAAATGAAAATGTATCAAATTTTAATCATGCAAAGGATATATTTCTTGGCACCATGAAGCCATCTAAGTACCAAGCCACTTTGACAAATTGTTTTCTTTTCAATTATTTGATCATTTTTGATTTTTTTTCAAATAAATTTTGTTTTCAAAGTTGCTTTATATATAATAAATCATAAAAAATACAATTTGTTGTTAAAAATAAATGTTTTCTTATTCAAAGAAAAATAATCTCAAAACTGAAATGTGACTTTTTGTCCTGTGACTTTTTGTTCACGACTTATTGTCTGTGACTTTTTGTCCTGTGACTTTCTGTCCTACATTCAAAAATAATACCTTATTATAATTATATTGTGACAAAAAATATATCTATGATTTATCATGAAAACGCTTCTTCATGGAGAGATCAACTGATTTGAAAAATATCTGATGCATTTTCCGACAATGGTTTAAATCTCATCTGTTTAAAAAAAAATCGACATCTGACTAATTTAACTTATACTTATGATTTAGTCAGCAACCTTGTCATACATTTCATCTTAATTTCTCTTCCTTATCATATATCATGAAGCTGGCAGCTCATCCCTGCCACACATTACATAGTAAGTGCCCCCACCCCCATCCGCGAGATAAGACTATAAGGTTCTATTATGTCTTTAGAATTTTGAGTTTTTCAAAAGACAAATTACAAGTACCTATACACAATTTGTCTACAAACAAATGAAATAATACCTTGATAATTAAGTTTTATAACTCTCATCTCATTTGGTTGGTTTTTTGGCAAGTACTTTTATAAATATAACTATAGTCAGCTTTAAGTAGTTATAAATGGGATATAATCAACTCATAAAATCTATCACATAATTAATGCTAAAATTTGTAATTTTCCCACAGTTTACATTTGTTTATTTCCTTTAATAATTAACCCTGTGCTATTTTTTCATCAAGTATTCACAATTTGGAACATCAATCAAAGTTCAAAGTTTGCTAATAATTTGTGTATTAGACCTTCCTTGTCTATTTTCGAAAAGACAATGTCCCTTGAATGAACCTCAGAGGAACCATTCTGACATTAATTAATTTATTACTGGAGGTCACTAATTAAGGACCTGTTTGGGCCTCGAAGCAGACAATAAGAAGGACAGGATATGATAGAGGTCAGGTGTTATATTGCCCTCAGGTTGTACAGGTAAACCATGACCATCATCGGCAAAAGGTGACAAACTTCCATACCATCCAACGGGACATGTAAAAAGATTTTTTTTAAATTAATGTGGAATTTTTAAAACTGACTTACACTTTTTCAGGTAAACAATAACTTTTCTATCATAAATAAAAAGAAAATGAATATTTGTTGATGATGCGGTTGAAGTTTGTATGCTGTTTTCTAATATTTTTTACTTAAATATTTATGCTGTCATTTTAACTTGTTGCATAAACAATTTAGAAATAAAAATGAATCAGAAGATATACCTTTTAAAAGATGACACAGATTTTTCTGAATTTAAATTTAAATTACTTCAATAAATTTTTCAGATAGGCATAAATAAAGTTTATATGTATACTAAACTCTTGAGTAATCTTTTAATGCTAGCTTTTGAAATGTAGGTATTGATTATTTAATTGCATCAGATGAATATTAAAAAGTTATATCTATTTTATAAGTAAAAATAGTTAATCTAAAAATTTAATTAAACAAAAGACCATTAGAACAACTATTCGTTTAACAGATGCTAAAGAAAGCACTCATAGTGGCACTCAGCTTATAACAATGCAGGTTTTGTCTATTTCATTTCAATATGAATTTTCTGACTTTCTTTTTTTTATTAATCTGTCTCCAGATTTTTTTTCCCATTTTGATGGGTACAAAGTTTTTTTAACAGATGTGTTACATTTAAGTTAAATTGAAATTAATGATTGATTATTATATCATGAATAGTTTTTTATATCTATTTTCAGGGTTTAAACCATGATGTAGTTCAAAGTAAGAGATGAGGAAAGCCATATTAGAATGGACTTTGAACCCCTGACACCCCCAGGAACCCATTGTGGACCTGACATGACTCTAGTACTTTCCTCTACCCCTAACTCGTTCGTGGGTATGAAGGGATCACCTCAAAAGTTTGGCTTGGACCAAGAATCTGAATCAGTTAGACTCTTCAATGTTAACAAGCACACTGATCTTGAGAAATCAGGGTCAGGTCCAAGCTTCAACAGCTTACCATCACCATTATCTATCTGCAAAACATCCCAAAAAATGGAGACACCCATCACAGAAAATAAAGAAATGAATGATATGGAAGAGGAAATGTCCGAACTAGAGGATGATGATGAACCAATCATTTGTGATGATTGTAACACAGACTTTCCATCACTACAGCAATTTCTCGATCATAAATGTACAAAACTAGATGGTTCAAATAAAAGTAACATGATACGAGAGTATTGTCGAACACCTAGTAATGCTAGCGAATTAAGTGAAGGGGAGAGTTTTGATGGACGAATTGTTTATAATCCAGATGGATCCGCATATATTTTGGAGGATGGTGATTCTAGTCTGAGTGACCTTGACTCTTTAATTGGAGTTTCTAATCAGCAAGAATTAATTGTTGATAAGAAAGGAAGTGACACTGTCTCTCAAGTCCCAGCTTTGCCACAAATTGCCAATGCCATATTTGTTCCCAGAAATCCAAGCTATGATCCTTCACGAGAATATTTGTCTCAGGCACCTATGATGTTTAGTTATAAAGTGTATGATATGCGCTCAGGCAAAAGTGAAAATGATGAAAAGTCAAGCAAGACTGATGATGATAGTCTATCTACCTCTGAAGAAAGTCAGGACTTCACAAATGTTCCTACTAAGCCAATTCTGATGTGTTTCATTTGTAAATTGTCTTTTGGATACAGTAAGTCTTTCATAGCACATGCTGTTTCTGAACATTCTATGATATTGAATGAAGATGAAAAGAGAGTAATGTTGCGTAAAAATTCATCAGCTATAATACAGTGTGTTGGTACAAAGAAAGAGCCATTGATGTCATTCTTAAAGCCAAGAGCACTGAAAAATCCTACTTCTGGAAGAGATATGCTTTTGTCGGAAAGTGTAACATTGCCAAACTCTTTTAAGTCATCACTGAACGACAGTACCAAAGTCAGTTTTGTACATTCCAAACCAAAGCTATCAGATGCTCTTGTCTTGAATTCTGTTTCAAAATTAGAGAATTTAGACATGTCTCAGGGCAGTTCAAAGCCATACCACTATGGTGCTACAAGCATTACTACCTGTGTTCATTCATCCATGTCTCCTGTATCATCGTCTTTATCATCGACAGCAATTGAGAATCTAACAAGTAATCTTCGCTCAAAGCTAAGTCGACAATTAGATTCACCTAGTGCTTCCTCCCCTGTGCCATCAATGTCACCCATTACAAACTCTACATTATTTCTTGGCATCTGTGATGAGCATCCACAGGGTCGTGTTCAGGGCGTTGAATGTCCAAAATGTGATATGATACTAGGGTCCTCTCAGTCATTAGGAGGTCACATGACCATGATGCATTCACGTAATTCATGTAAGACTTTAAAATGTCCAAAATGTAATTGGCATTACAAGTATCAAGAAACACTGGAAATTCATATGAAGGAGAAACATCCAGAAGGGGACCAGCAGTGTATATACTGTCTATCAAACCAGGCTCATCCACGATTAGCGAGAGGTGAGAGTTACTCTTGTGGCTACAAACCTTACAGGTGTGAGGTTTGTAATTACTCCACAACAACGAAAGGCAATCTCAGTATTCATATGCAGTCTGATAAACATTTAAACAATGTTCAGGATTTGGCAAATGGAGGTGGAGAACTGAAACTCCAAGCCCCTCCTCAACAACAGCAACTACAACAACAACAACAGCAATCTCAACAACAACAAGTACAGGAACAGACCCCACAACAGCAATCCTTACCATCCATTAATGATGCACAACTAAAGAAAAACAACAAACCTAAACCTACATGGAGGTGTGACGTCTGTAATTATGAAACTAATGTTGCACGAAATCTACGCATTCACATGACAAGTGAAAAACATACGCATAATATGATGGTACTACAGCAGAACATGAAGCACATGCAACGGGACATGCATATTCAACAGATGAATCAACTGATGTTACTTCAGAATGACCCAGCTTTCATAACAGGCTATCCCAGCAGTATTCCAGCCTCTAACATGCCATTTAATATAGAGCAATCTCTCTATGGGAATGCTGTTCCCAGCTCATATGGAGAAATCCCAATGGATCTGAGAAAGGAGAATGGAGGAATTGGTGTTTCATTTGATCCACAAACTCCCGACAGTTCTAGACTCTATAATTGTTGTGTTTGCAATTTATATGTTACTGATTCACTTGAATCTCTTCATCAGCATTTACAAGTCGATCGCACTAAGCAAAGAGAGTCAGAGACAATTTCTATATCACAAGGTACATATATATGTAACCTGTGCTCCTATAAGACTAACTTGAAAGCGAACTTCCAACTGCACTGTAAAACTGACAAACATTTGCAACGATTGCAGCTTGTCAATCACATCAAAGAGGGAGGATCTAATAATGAATGGCGACTCAAGTATCTCAATGTAAGCAATCCAGTTCAGGTACGATGCAATTCTTGTGACTATTACACAAATAGTATTCATAAGTTACAAATCCATTCTGGAAATCCTAGACATGAGAAGAATGCCCAGCTTTTCCATTTCTTGCAGCTGGGAGAAAGCAAAATTAAAAGCAAATCCAAATATTACCACTGCACTCTATGTAATTTTTCGACAAGAGCCAAGCTCAACATGATCCAGCATGTACGTGCTATGAAACATCTACACAACGAACAGATCAAACAGCTACAGATGAAAGAACAAGGTGTGACTGACATTGACCCTGGAGAAATTTTCCAAGTTAAAGAATACAATGAAAGTGAAGAAGACCAAATCAAGTTTGATGAAGAAGGCAAGTGATATTTATTGAAATACCATAATTGACCAAATAAGCAGCCCAATTTGTTAAGATTTTTTTAAAACAAAGCTTACTGTTTTTGAGCTAACAAACACAGTCCTGTGAAATTTTTTTAGGGTGTTTTTTTCATAAAGTACTTAAAACCAGAAAATTTTATCATTCAGTAAACAGAATATGATATAAAAAAAAAATATATAATGCTTCAAAAACTTTTGAAACTGTAAATCATTTTTATACGACTGCAAAAAATTTTGCGGTCGTATATTGGTATCACTTCGTCTTCGTCTTCGTCCAAAGACATTTGGTTTTCCGGACAATAACTTTAGTATTAGTAAATAGAAATCTATGAAATTTAAACATAAGGTTTATAACCACAAAAGGAAGGTTGGGATTGATTTTGGGGGTTATGGTCCCAACAGTTTAAGAATTAGGGGCCAAAAAGGGGCCCAAATAAGCATTTTTCTAGTTTCATGACAATAACTTGTGGAACAGTGTATGGATCTCTCGGAAATTATACCATAAAGGGATGGTTAGGATTGGTTTTGGGGGGTTATGGCTCAAACCGTTTAGGAATTAGGGGCAAAAAAGTGAGAAAAAACAAGGGTGTCCTGGTTAATGGACAATTAAGTACAAATTACAGTGTAAGGGAGGTAATTCAAACACAACTTTGAATTACCTCCCTAGCATTGCTTTTAAATTATGTATAAAGAATTTTTGTATTGTCTTGAGGTGATTAACTGTCAATTCATTTTTATACGACCGCAAAAATTAAAAATTTTTTGGTCGTATATTGGTATGACGTTGGCGTCGTCGTCGTCGTCGTCGTCGTCGTCGTCTGGCGTCGTCCGAAGACACATTGGTTTTCGCACTCTAACTTTAGTGTAAGTGAATGGATCTCCATGAAATTTTACCATAAGGTTCAATACCACGAAAGAAAGGTTGGGATTGATTTTGGGGGTTATGGTACCAACAGTTAAGGAATTAGGGGCCAAAAAGGGGCCAAAAATAAGCATTTTTGTAACTTCCAGACAATAACTTGTGTGTAAGTGTATGGATCTCTCTGACATTGTACCACAAGGTTCCATATCACAAAGGAAAGGCTGTAATTGATTTTGGGGGTAATTGCCTCAAAATTTTAGGAATTAGGGGCCAAAAAAGGGGCAAAAAACAAGCATTTTTCTAGTTTCATGACAATAACTTGTGTGTAAGTGTTTGGATATTTCTGAAATTGTACTACAAGGTTCCATATCACAAAGGGAAAGCTGGAATTGAGTTTGGGGGTAATTGCCCGAAACGTTTAGGAATTGGGGGCCAAAAAGGGGCCAAAAATAAGCATTTTTCTAGTTTCCAGACAATAACTTGTGTTCAAGTGTATGGATCTCTCTGAAATTGTACTGCAAGGTACCATACCACAAATGGAAGGCTGGGATTGAGTTTGGGGGTGATGAATCATAAGGGGGTTCAAAAAATTTGGGGGGGAGGATTTTTTTTTACTTTTTTTTCTTTTTTTCCTTTTTTTTTTCTTTTAAAATTTTCCATTTTAAGTTGGTTATTTCTGATTAATATTTAAAAGCAAATAATAATGATATGGTAGGAGATACACACCAAACAGGATGTGTAAATTATTATATAATAAGTATTGTGCAATAGCAAGAAATTTTCAATTGCACAGTATTGCACAATAGCAAGAAATCTTCAATTGCACAGTATTGCGCAATAGCAAGAAATCTTCAATTGCACAGTATTGCGCAATAGCAAGAAATATCCAATAGCACAATATTGCGCAATAGCAAGAAATTGTCAATTGTACAGTATTGCGCAATAGCAAGAAACATTCAATTGCACAGTATTGTGCAAAAGAAGATACTTCGTATAAATTGCTTATTTCTTGATCAATTTCAATGGGGTTTTATTCTTGAATTCTTGGGGTTCTTTAATATGCTGAATCTAACCATGTATTAAGTTTTTGGATTTTGGGCCCCGTTTTTAAATTGGTCCACATTGAGGTCCAAAGGGTCCAAAATTTAACTTTGTTTGATTTCATCAAAAATTGAATTATTGGGGTTCTTTGATATGCTGAATCTAAACATGTATTTAGATTTTTGATTATGGGCCCAGTTTTCAAGTTGGTCCAAATCGGGGTCCAAAATTAAACTTTGTTTGATTTCAACAAAAATTGAATATATGGGGTTCTTTGATATGCTGAATTTAACCATGTATTTAGATTTTTGATTTTTGGGCCCCGTTATCAACTTTGTCCACATTGAGGTCAAAAGGGTCCAAAATTAAACTTTGTTTGATTTCATCAAAAATTGAATTCTTGGGGTTCTTTGATATGCTGAATTTAACCATGTATTTAGATTTTTGATTTTTGGGCCCCGTTATCAACTTTGTCCACATTGAGGTCCAAAGGGTCCAAAATTTAACTTTGTTTGATTTCATCAAAAATTGAATTATTGGGGTTCTTTGATATGCCGAATCTAGCCGTGTATTTAGATTCTTAATTTTTGGTTCCGTTTTCAAATTGGTCTACATTAAGGTCCAAAGGGTCCAAAATTAAACTTAGTTTGATTTTAACAAAAATTGAATTTTTAGGGTTCTTTGATATGCTGAATCTAAACATGTATTTAGATTTTTGATTATGGGCCCAGTTTTCAAGTTGGTCCAAATCGGGGTCCAAAATTAAACTTTGTTTGATTTCAACAAAAATTGAATATATGGGGTTCTTTGATATGCTGAATCTAACCATGTATTTAGATTTTTGATTTTTGGGCCCCGTTATCAACTTTGTCCACATTGAGGTCAAAAGGGTCCAAAATGAAACTTTGTTTGATTTCAACAAAAATTGAATATATTGGGTTCTTTGATATGCTGAATTTAACGATGTATTTAGATTTTTGATTTTTGGGCCCCGTTATCAACTTTGTCCACATTGAGGTCAAAAGGGTCCAAAATTAAACTTTGTTTGATTTCATCAAAAATTGAATTCTTGGGGTTCTTTGATATGCTGAATCTAACCATGTATTTAGATTTTGGATATTGGACCATAATAGGTGAATGTCCAATTTAAAATTTTTAAGTTCATAGACCACATTCATTCTGTGTCAGAAACCTATGCTGTGTCAAATATTTAATCACAATCCAAATTCAGAGCTGTATCAAGCTTGAATGTTGTGTCCATACTTGCCCCAACTGTTCAGGGTTCGACCTCTGCGGTCGTATCAAGCTGCGCCCTGCGGAGCATTTTATTAGAAGTTACTATTTTAATAATTTGAAAAATGCTGATTAAGGTAAATTAATTTTAGCTATGATTATGTATGTCATTTTCTATTTTAAGACTTTTATGATGTATTTAAATGGGTTATTATGGTTGCAAACTCCATTGGAAATTTGAATTGAAATTATGACCATGACTGAGGGAAAGAATTTTTTTTTGGAAAAAAGGGGGGGGGGGGGGGGGAAGGTTTAAAACAAAATTTTTTTTCCTAAAGATTTCAGAAATCAAAAAGAAAATCATCCTTCAATTTTTTTTTTTTTTTTAAAAAGGGGGGGAGGTCAATTCACAACAGCATAGTGTATTGCACAAAAGCAAAAAATTGAATATAAATTCAAATCATATAACCAATTCTAAGTTCTTTGACTACAGTTATTCTGTGTCAGAAACCTATTATGTGACAAATATTGAATTACAATCCAAATTCAGACCTGTATCAAGCGTGAATATTGTGTCCATTTTTGCCCCAACTGTTCAGGGTTGGACCTCTGCAGTCGTATCCAGCTGCGCTCAGCGAAGCACTTTGTTTCAAGTAGAAGTGAATGTTCAGGGTGTTTTTAGTTATTGAGGGACGTTTCTCTGGCCAATTGTGGTTCAAATAAGCTCATCATAGATATATGTACCAGGATTAAAATTTTGTATGCCAGACACGCATTTCGTCTGCAAAAGACTCTTCATTGTCTTTTGAATAAAAAAGTAAAAAGGCCCAAAAATGTACGATGTAATCTATTCCGTGGGTAGAAAATATTAGTATTTAAAAAAATTCAAAGTTTTATAAACAGTTAATTTATAAATATGACCATATCAATGATAACTATATGTCAGCACAGAAGTGCTGAATACTGGGCTGGTCTTTTGTTTAGTATGACATTAAAGACAATTTCATGTGGCATTAAATTTTTAAATGACTTAAAGGGCATAAGATAGGTAAAATAGAAGTTGTTGTATACGACAAGTAAAATAAAAAAAAAACCCAAGTCAGGCTATCTGAACCAGTTTTTTTGTCTTTTTTTGTACATCGAATGGGTATTTTCTCGAGGGATAAGGGTAGGCAGTGTTTGGTGTGGTCTGTAACTTACTGTCCAATATTTTTATTAATTCTTGTTACTTATCCTTTTTATGTACTCAATCATCAATTACATAAGTCATTTCTTTCAAAAGGTTTTAATTAGTCTAATGTGTATATGTATTGAACTTTCTAAATAAAGAAAATAATCGTTATTTTTCTGATAGTTAATTTGTGGACCGACAGTTGTTTTATTTAAGGATTTGGTTTTGGTTATTTTTTCTTTAAAGACATTTGCTTTTGTGATAAAGAACGAACTATGTGCATCAAATTAACAAAGCAACTGTTCTAAATTAAAAAACTTTAAAAAGTTGAGATTCTGCAAAAAAAAAAATTTGACAAACTGAAAAGTTATGTATCACTAAAGGCTAATGTCTGTTAAATACATTTAGCATTATTCATTCTAATTGAAAGGTTAATTTTGAATTTGTTTGTTTTGTTTTATAACAAGTATTCCTGTTTTCACAATAATTATTTAATATTTAATTGTCAGCATTATGTAGAAACTTTAGTCCAACTAAAGTCCAAATACAAATATAGTTTGAAGTTCTTCTAAAGACAAAAGTCATTATGAATTTCACTTTGAAGAAACAAAGAAGTTAAAGGTAGACCAAAGAATAACAAAATTTTCCAATCAAATATGAGAACAATACA